ACACACACACACACACACACACACACACACACACACACTTGCACAAGGAGTTAACAGTAGGAATCCGTTCGGGCTACCGCTCTGTTCCCCTCCATGAAGCCAATCCCTCCCTCTCTGAACCCCACCATCTCCCGCTCCCCACCACCCCCAACCCCTGCATTTAGGAAGCTGGAGCCAATACCTCCAGTTCTACCGAGAGACCCCTTCAGCGGTTTTTGGTTTTTTTTTTCCCCAAGTGTGGTTTGAAAGCGACATGGGGAACAATGAGAGGAACTAATTCTGCTCACTGTTGAACAAGTACACGGAGGGCAATGTGCACAGCAGATGTGTGCTGGGGAGGCGGGCTCCATGCGACCCCGCTCTCCTCTGAACACGGGGTGGGGAGAAGTCGAGAAGTCCGCAAACTCCTCATCTTAACTCTTCCTAGGGGAGGCGCAGGGCGCTCACACCCGCACTTTGGGCAAGGTGGGGCAGTCCCAGAGTGTGCCACAGCACTGCCTGCCGCCTGGGTTTCTCCTCCCAAGAAGCGTGCGTGAGGTGGGTGCAATGACGTTAACTCCTCAGATTTATGTGCTGTGTCAACACTGGCAACACCTTCCCTTCCTGCCCAAAGAATATTAAAAAAGAAATTCCAGAGAGCCTTGTGGCAGGTCTCACACGACCACGGCCACTTAGTTATTTTCTAGGTATTCAGACTGTTTCATGCAGTCCGGTCTGGCATCCAACTCCCTGGGTAGCCAGGACTGACAGAACTCCAGATCCTCCTGCCGCCCTCTCCCAAATGCCGGGGTGACAGGTGTGTGCATCCATGCAGAGCTTATCGTTTATTTGAGACGAGGTGAGGCGGACCTCAAACTGACACTGTGTAGCTCAGGCTAGCCTTGAAATCTCCCTCTTCCTGCCTCTGCCTCCTGAGTGCTAGGATTACAGACACGCTCCTCCACTCCTGATTCTGGTTCTTGCTGGTGACGTTGGACCCGCCCTCTGCTCTCTGTTAAGTCTGCTTCCCGTCCTCGACTCCTGAGTCACCCCCACCTGAGCTGCCCACTAAACACCTCTGTTCCTCTCCTTTCTCCCATCACCGATGTCCGAAGTCCAGGATGCTTTATTTTAATCTCTGGGGGTTTCTGTCAAGGTCAGTTTCTCTCTCATTTGAGAGGACACTTCAGCTACGCTAAGGACCAGCACAGACCCCAGAAGAGCTGGACCCAGCCCCCGGGCTGGCTTTGTTTGCCTCGCAGCCTCGGAACTCTCTATATAATCTTTCAAAGAAGCCGTTTTTAGAACCATACCCTTAGGTTGAACGGGGCTGTGAGTGAAGAAACGGGCACTGTTGTCGCGGCACCCATGCCTGGAATCTCGGTGCACAGGAGGCTGAGGCAGGGGGATGAATTTGAAGCCAGGCAGGGCTACATTGCAAGACTCTGTCGGAAGAGAAAGAAAAGGAGAGAGGAGGAAGAGGAGGGAAGGAAAGAGAAAGAGAGAGGGGAGGGGAGGGGAGGGGAGGGGAGGAGAGGAGAGGAGAGGAGAGGAGAGATGGGGAAGGGAGGGAAGGCAGAGCAAGGAAGAGAAAAAGGAGGAAGAGGAGTTCCAGAATGAACACTGAGTCCAACACTGTGTGACTCTTCAGTCATTGAAAAGTCAGGCAGTCAGCAGGCCTTAGCGTCTTCGTGAGCATGCCCACCCGCAGGGTCCTTCACCACCCACAGGGTCCTTCACCACCCACAGGGTCCTTCACCACCGCCTAGGAGAGCAAGCTCCTGCATCTCTGGGCTATTTCATCTCCCTAATGTTGGTTAGGGTTGATGATGTGTCCCTTCCTCACATCCCATCTAGCTTCCTGCTTAAAGCGGCTGCCTCCAGATTAACGTGGTTGTGCATCTGTGGAGTAAACGTTGGTTTCTCAACAGGACTGAATTTAAACATTCTCTGTGTAGGAAAGAAATGGGCTCTTTTAACAGAAAAAAAAAATCAATCCATGTTGTTAATAAGCAGCGTATGTGAAAAGATAGTCAGCATTCGTGGCCCCAGAGGCCAACCAGGTCACTTGGTAGTTCTAGAGAAGTGTGTTTCTGGGCAATCCCACTGGCCTGGGCCAGATTGTATCCCCAGTATCTATGAGTTAATCACACCTTCAAGTGAGGGATGAAACCAGAACGGTGCGATAGGCAGAGAAGACACGGAAGCCTCTCACAGTCACACGCAGCACAGGGTGGGTCCTGTGGTACCTTGATTTCAGCATGTGTTTGCCGTGGACTTACTCAGTGCACCACCTCCGCCTGGATCCAGCCAAAGTCGAATACAGAGGGTTCTCTAGATTCCCTGGGAACCCACATTCCACGGAGCACCCATGCAAGCAAAATCCTCCCTGCTCTAAGAAAGGACATGGAGTCAATGGTTATCCTCTTGGACTAGAGACTCATGGGTAATTGTTGGAGATGGACTTGTTGAAGGAGCTTGAATAGATCTCTTTCCTGATCGGGTCTGACAATTGACTTTTTCTTTTGGTGAGGGAGGCAGTGGACTAGAGAGATAGCTGGACCTGGAGAGATAGCTCAGTGGTGAAGAGAACTAGTTGATCTTCCAGAGGACCCGAGTTGGATTCCAAGCATCAACATCTGGAGACTCACAACCGCCTGTAACTGCAGCTCCAGGTGGATCCCACGCCCTCTTCTGGCCTTCTCAGGTACTGCACTCACACACACACACACACACACACACACACAGACATACCCACAAACCCGTGAATAAAAAATAAAACAAAAACATTTAAATTTTTATTTATTTTATGTGTGAGAGCATCTTGCCTGCATATGTATCTGTACAAACTCCTGGCGACTACAACTACAGCACAGGGGCCCACTCAAGGCTGGAACATTTTGGCAACTGAGTCAGGCGAGCTCTATAACAAAGGGGACACTCCAAGAGCTCTTGCATCAGACTCCACAGATCCACATCTTGGCTCTACCCTCCCTCATCACAGCCCCTTGGATGAACCCCAACATCTGTATCTTGTAAGAGAACACAAGAGTGTGTTCTTCCATGGGCATCCTTAAAGAAGAACGTGGAGGTGAAGGAGGGGGTGTCTGGTCTCACTGCAGCCTGGTATACGATGGCTGGCTGATATCCATGGGATGCCTGCCTGTATCTGAAGAGAAACGGTAGAGGAGTGGATGGTGTGGGGGGAGAGAGTTGGGGGGGGCTGGGAAGAAGAAAGAGGGAAAGTTTGGTTAGGATGTAAAAACAAGACAAATTTTTTTAAAAAAATTAAAGGAGAGAAGAACCAGGGTACAGTCTGGACAGAATAAAACCATACTCAGAAAGCATAAATACTTCAATGCCCAATTATCTGTGACAAGAAGGGGGGAGCAGGACGGTGGTAGCACACACCGTTTAATCCCAGTACTTGGGAGGCAGAGGTAGGCAGATCTCTGAGTTCAAAGCCAGCCTGGTCTACAAAGTGAGTTCCAGGACAGCCAGGGCTACACAGAGAAACCCTGTCTTGAAAAAAAAAAAAATTCACATCAATCAATCAATCAATCATAGGTGGGGAATCACACAAACTCACCCCTTGGTACCTGTGGGGAGGCTAGTTCCATGACACTCCATGCCAAAATCCACAGAGCCTTGGGCCCCTTACAGAAAATGGAGAATTCACCAAGAACCTACATGCCTTCCCATTCAGTTTAAATGGCCTCTTGATGACACAGCATCTACTACCATGTATCACTCAGGAAATTAGGAGAGGGGGGGGGCTAGACCCTGCTCCTGTTCAAATAAAGGCCATTTTAATTCAAACCTTTCCACTCTTCAATTGGCTGAGTCACCAAAGTAACACACACAGCGTGGTGGCACACACCTGTGACCCCAGCACGTGGGAAGTGGAGGTAGGAAGACGGGAAGTTCAGGGCTAGCCTGGACTACGGGAGACCTTGTCTCAAACAACAAATGGCACCTCAGTGGATAAAGGCACGTCCCACCAAGCCTGATGGCATGAGTTCAGTCACTGAGGTCCCCAGGGTGCAAGGAGAGAACCGACTCCCCGACCTCCTCAAGGACACAGTGCTACACTAAGCTCACAGCTGGGCCTGTCTGTTACCTGCCAGTCACGGGAACAACTTGACATTCCTAAGAAAAGTGGAGACCTGGAGCTGACATCTTCATGCTCCTTCAAGGTCGACAAGCGCCCGCCTGCAGAGAGTTTCCAAACAGCCCCACCAGTGGTGTGCTCTGGGGCCGTGCACACAGGCAGAGGGGGCACGAAAACCCCAATCATTTAGCACACCGCCCGCAGAAGACAATGGGTGACATTGTAGGTGGAGGAGGCTAAAACCTGAGAGCCCTGGGGACCTGGCCACATCTCTCTCATCATCGGGTCTGAAAGCCGCATTCCTTCACTTCCCCCTGGTCGCTGCAAATCCCTCCTGCTTATTAAGCAGGTAAAACTGGTCCTTTTTTTATGTAAAAACAATGGGCTCTCTGCTGGGCCGGGCTGAAGCCTAACAGAAAATAAAAATTCAGCAGTCCGGAGTCTGTCACCTCCAACGTACATCTGGAAAGCATTTTCTGTTGATCTAAAAATGGATGGAACGTATATGTATGTGCTTATGAAGCTGGGGTATTGATCAGAAAAACTCTGAGGAGTGAGCGCCACTCTGATCCTAATACCAGCAGCCTCCAGAGTGGGCTATGAAATGGCTCCAGGGCTAGTTTATTCAAATCGAGGCCAAATGCTGCTTGAACACGGCCTTATCCACACCCTTCTCTCCATCAGTCACCATTTCCGACTCCCCACTAAAGCCAAATTCCATCCCATTACCCCCTACCGCCGTGGAGCGGGTCCCTTTCTCTGACCCATTTCTCACGTCTCTCAGAGCCAGGGTTCTGACCTGAGGAACGAGCAGTCACAGTCAGAAAAGTGGGTGCTGCGCAAACATGAGGGGACCGGAGCTCCATCCCCGGCCTCTACGTAAATAAGCTATGCGTGGTGGCACCTGCCAGCAACCCAGCCTCCCAGCAAAGGTGGAGACGGGCAGATGCCAGGGTCTTCTGGATGGCCAAGCTATCTGGCCTAAGCTGTGAGCCTGAGACCAGTGAGAGACCGCGCCTCAAACAAAAAGGTGACCAGCACCTGAGAAATAACGCACGAGGTAGTAAAATATCCATGAGGGTCTTCAGCAGCATCTGGTCAGAGTTGGGTTTTATGGCCAGGTGGTGGTGGTGGCGGCGGCGGCGGCGGCGGCGGCGGCGGCGCACGCCTTTAATCCCAGCACTCGGGAGGCAGAGGCAGGCGGATCGCTGTGAGTTTGAGGCCAGCCTGGTCTCCAAAGCGAGTTCCAGGAAAGGCACAAAGCAGCACAGAGAAACCCTGTCTCGAAAAACCAAAAAAAAAAAAAAAAACAGAGTTGGGTTTTATGATCTGGAAGTCAGCCGTCATCCTCCTCTGTCATGGCTAATCTCTGCCCACCTTTCTGAACTTAGAACCACTTGGAGTTGGGGGGAGGGTTTGTAAAGGTGTTCTCAGAAAGAATTAACAGAGGAAAGGAGACACACTACAAACGGACTAGTACCAACCCATGAGCTGAGGTCCAAGGCTAAATAAAAAGGGAAGAGGAGAAAGTCAGATGAGGCCAGCATCCCCCTGCCTCTGCTTCCTGCTCTACTGAGATGGGAGGAGAGGAGGAATCCCAGCCATACACACCCACCTCCAAGTCCTCACTCCACCCCCACCTCCACGCCATGATGGACTTGTCCCCTCAAACTGTGACCTAAGGCAACTCCTTTCTCCCTTGAGGTGCTCTCATCAGGTATTTGGTCACAGTAACAAAAAAAGAAGTTGGTGCAGCCTCACTGAGTCTTAAAGAAAGACTCTTAGTCATTTCATAGCCAGTTTTTAATTTTTATTACAATTATTTATGAGGGGCGGCACGGCACTTGTGCCACAGCTTGTGTGTGGAGGTCAGAGGACAACGTGGGGTCCCAGGACTTGAACTAAGGTTGTCAGGCTCTGTAGCCTGTACCTTTGCCCAGTGAGACCTTCACCAGCCCCCTCCTAGCCACTTGCATAATTTTTCTCCATCTCGTGTTCAGAGATTTCACTGTGAAGTGTCTAGATGCAGCATCACATGTTTGGGCCCCATAGAGCATTCTTCAGTCTGTGCTGTGGTGGACTTCTGAGACTTGGGGAGATGCTCCCCATTATTTCTTCCCACTGTCATCCCCACTTCTCCACCTGACTCGATAGTCCCCAGGTGCTTAGCTTGGCTTCTTTGCCGCTTCTCTGAATTTTTTGCTCTTCTCAGTCTTACCCACTGTTGTTCCTTGTGTATCCATCCTTCGTATCGTCTGTCTACTCAGTTGTCTCTTCATTTCTTTATCTCTGTTATTTTGCATGTGTCTATTTAGTGAGGATGAGGCTACACATGCTACGGTTTGCTCGTGGAGGTCAGAGGGAGGGAAAAGATCCAGGCGTGGTGGCCCACGCTCCTCTAAACCCCAAGTTCAGAAGGCAGAAGCAAGAGGATCTCAGTGAATCTAAGGACAGCTTCGTCTACAGAGTGAGTTCCAGGACAGCCAGAGCTATATAGTGAGACCCTGTTTTTAAAAGAAGGAGGAGAAGGGGGAGGAGGGGAAGGAGGAGGGGGAGGAGGAAGAGGGGAAGAAGGTGAATAATGAGGGGGAGGGGGAGGAGGAAGAGGAGGAAGAAAAATCAAAAGAGGAAGAAGAGGAAAAGAAAAAATCATGTTTTTCAGATTTAGAATTTCTGTTTTAACTTCTTAAAACTGGATTTTATTTCTACTTTGAAGCTCTGCATACTTTTTTTTGCATCCTTCTTTTTATTCCGGTTTGGTTGGTCAGTTGGTAGGTTGGTTGGTTGGTTGGTTGGTTGACTGGCTGGCTGGCTGGCTGGCTGGCTGGTTGGTTGGTTGGTTGGTTGGTTGGTAGGTTGGTAGGTTGGTTGGTGGGTTGGTTGGTAGGTTGGTAGGTTGGTTGGTTGGTGGGTTGGTAGGTTGGTTGGTGGGTTGGTTGCTTGGTTGCTTGGTTGGTTGCTTGGTTGGTTGCTTGGTTGCTTGGTTGGTAGATTGGTTGCTTGGTAGGTTGGTTGGTTGCTTGCTTGCTTGGTTGGTAGGTTGGTTGCTTGGTTTTTTAGGCAGTTTCATGGAGCTCAGGTTAGCCTTGAAATCTCTACAGAGTGGTGGCTGGCCCCTTGCCTCCATCTCCGTGTGCTCAGATTCCAGGTGTGAGTCAGCAGTTATATAACTTTTTTAATAATCTTAAAGACATACTAACCATTAAAATCATTGTCATTGTCAGGCCGGGCGGTGGTGGCGCACGCCTTTAATCCCAGCACTCGGGAGGCAGAGCCAGGTGGATCTCTGTGAGTTCGAGGCCAGCCTGGGCTACCAAGTGAGTTCCAGGAAAAGGCACAAAGCTACACAGAGAAACCCTGTCTCGAAAAAACCAAAAAAAAAAAAAAAAAAAAAAAAAAAAAAAAAAAAAAAAAAAATCATTGTCAGATACCTCCATCCCACACATTGGATGATATACACCCAGGTCCCCCATCTGAAATTGTTATTTTAACAACCTATGGGGCTGTGTTCATACATGTTTTCTTTTCTCTTGGTTTTCAGCCACTTGTTCCTTTTCCCATCACGCCTCATGATGTTTGGTTGGATGTGTGAAAGATGGTTGAGGCACTGGCTGCTATTCACATCCTTCTGAAGGTATAGGAGGCAGATAGACTGGTAGGAAGCCATTTACAGATGAGGATTCCTGGCTTGGGTAAGGCCATCTAGAGCAATGTTGGCTTTACTCATTTTGTTTTGTTTTGTTTTGTTTTGTTTTGATTTGATTTGATTTGAATTGAAGTGAGGTCTCTCTATATAGTCCTGGCTGGATTGGAATTAACCATGTATACCAGAATTGGCCACAAACTCACAAACTCCTGACTCCACTTCCAAGACATATGCTCCCATACCTAGCAGCCTTACTCTTAAGATCTGGCATTTGCAACAGACATGATGGCATACATTTGAATCTCAGCCTTAGGCAGGATGTTGGGACAAGGAGGGGGCCGGGCGGGAGGTTAATGAATGAAGATTGACAAGAACTCCAAGCCAGCATGGGTTCCGACTCCAGCAAGTTACCCTCTGACCTCCACACATGCATTGTGGCATTCGTGCATGTGTGTGCACGCGCATG